CCGAAGGGCCTGAAGGCTAGGTCCGGGTTCCTGTGCGATCCTAAGCAAGCTGCCGCATCTCTCTGAGCCTTAAATGGTTCTTCTAATGCCTACCACGGCGGGATTCACTAAGAGTGTTTCTACAGTGTTCAGCACAGTGCCTGATTTGTAACAGCTGGCTAATAAAAAGCAAGTGTTATCATCATTATTATTTTTAAATGTCAGTCAACCTCCACTGTCCTTAAAGAAACAAACAGTATTTTATGGTTTATTCTTCCGAGGGCTTTGAGGCTGAGAGCAGGTGTAAAGGGATAAGAGGTCTAAAGATAAATGCTGAAGGGTGTGTCAGCTCTTAACCTCCAGGGTGGAAAAGTCCTCATCCCCAAAGGGTCCCCAGGGTAAATGTGGGCCCAGCCTGACTGCCTCCTCAGAGCTTCTCCTTGCAGCAGGGTTGAACCTGCCCCTCTCCTGGGCTCACAGGGGGCTAAGTGAAAGGCAGGAAGCCAGGAAAGGCAGCATTTTCACCCTGGGAAAGCGTCACAGCAGCAAGAGCCCTATTTACAAATAAAGCCTGTTCTTGGCTCCTCCACCCACACAGCCAACCCCCTTTATTCCATTTCAATGTGCCTAATTCCACTGAAAGTGCATTGGCAATAAACAGAATTAATTAGTCCTGGATGTCCATGTGAATGGAGGCAGGTGTTAGCTTATCCCAGGGACCTTGGAGGGGGAATATAATGGCAGGGAATATAAAATGCTTTACTGCAGTGGGGACTGAGGATGGAAAGGACTTTACTGAGGGCGGGCATTTTATGAGCAAATAAAGCCTTTGATTGCCTGCAACAGAGAGGTGAACTAAAGTAACTGGGAAACTTCTATGGAATATTTTTCCTCTGCCTTGTTTCAAAATGGAATTCGTTTTATTGTTGCTATTTCCGTGATTATGAACGGAATACTCACTCCATCCAGATGCTGCATAAGATGTAAAGAAGAAAGTAAAAATCATCTATAATCTTGCACCTCGAGATAACCATAGTTGACATTTTGGTGAGGTGGGGCTGGCTGTTTCTCCGCACATATTTTTACATAACAATGAATTAGATATGTGGTTTTGCAACCTGTGTTTCCCACTTAATAACAGACCACGGGCATCCTTCCATATCAAGACTTGCAGATCTCTCGAATTACCTTTTCATGCCTGCAGGGCTTTGGGTAAGTTACACGCCCTGTGGGATCTGGAACTGTCCTCATGGTCAGCCAAAGCCAGCACCTTCATCCCACCAGGCTTTCTGAGTTCAGCCACACTGAGCTCTCCTTGATCCAAGCACAGCTCTTTCCCACTTGGGGGACTTATTAGCATTTGCTGCTCTTTCTGCCTCAAAATTCTCATCATTTTCTTCAGATAATTTTCTTCTCTTTTTTCAAATTCCAATGGAAAGACTTCCTCCTCCAGGAAGGCTTCCCAGATAACCAACACCAGGGTTGGGCTCCCCCTTTTGTACACTCACTTGGTTTCGTGTGCTTCACCATCCTGGGATCTGTCACAATTGTAATTCAGCAAACAATTGTATAATATCTCTCCTTGTCTTTGCACTAGAAAGGACAAGACCGAGTCCACCCTGCTCAGCTTGTAAGCTGCAGGGCAAGCCCAGCGCCCGTACGCAGGCGCGACCAGTATACATCTGCTCACTAAGCGGAAGGGAAGGAGAGGCAGAGGGGCACCTGCCTGTAACGCCCACATCCCCTCTCCCTCCATACCAAAGAGGGACCTGCCAGAGGGTGACCTGTGTGGTTATCACTTTGTGGGTATGGGAACCTACATCGAAGGAGAATGGAGAAAGTTTCTGGTACCTAGGCACCTGTAGCTCTCTCTGTCCAGGAAGATGGGACACGAGAAAGTCTCAGAGATCAGCTAGCTCAACTGTTCAATCGCTCTCTGTCCAACAGGGAGAGTGAGATGCAGAGGGGGAATAAATATGTCTATCCTCACTTAGCTCACGAGTGCCACGTCCTAGGGCTCCTGCCCTCTCCTACCCAAGGCAACCCCCGTCTCTGAGGGCCTGGGTTCGAATTCCAGCTCTGGTATTAGAAAGAATTTGACCTTTAATACAAGGAGGCTGTTTCTTCAGCTATAACGTGGAGATACGACACCTGCATTGTCACTGGAAGGCAGTGGAGCCTAGAGGTTAATACATGGCCTTAGAGTGCACCTGTCGGGGTTCAAATCCTCACTGTAGCGCTTCTTAGCTGGTGACTGGACAAGCTGCTTAGCATCACTCCTGAATCTGCCACCTGTAACGTTAGGGATAAGAAGGCTCCTTTTTCGTATGTTGTTGCAAAAATTAGATAAAATAACACAATGTGAAGCATTGAGGACTGTCCCAGACATAGTAATTACTTAGTAATTAATTACATAGTAATTACATAGTAAGTACTTAGTAGATAATAAGAGTTAACACCTGTCAGAAATGAGGAAAAGACAGGTGCGTGTGGGGGAGAGGGAGGGAGAGGGAGAGAAGAGAGACGCCACTTAGGTTGTCACCCAACATACTCTCTCAGCAAGACCAGAGGAAAAGTGCACCCAGATCTCAGAAAGAGGAACAGCTAGTCCCCTCAAACACAAATGGCCTATTTTCATCTGACAAATGTTTCCAACCAGCTTCCCTTTTTGCACTGGCGGCCAGGAAGCTCAGAGTCAAATCTGTGTCCAGTGTGTGGCTGGCTCTGCAGGCCCTCACAGCAGGTGTTCTGGGAAGACCCTCACCTCGCTTCTCTTTCTCTCCACCTTGAAAATTTCCTACTTGTTCATTTAAAAAGCATCTTAACTGTGTGTTTAGGAATGACCTTCAATCTTTTCTGAATTTCTTAGGGAAAAAGAAATAGAACTAGAACAGCATCCAGTCAATGTGGTAGGCTGTGGTAGGCTGCACTGGACAGTATCCTAGAACAGAAAAAGGACCTCAGTGGGAAAAGAGATCAACTCTGAATGACGCTTGTAGCTCGTTTAACGGTGTGGCCCAGTGTTGGCTTCTCAGTCTTGACAAGTGCACCTGGGTCATGTAAGATGTGAAATTAGAGGGGTTAAAGGACACACAGGAACTTTCTCTAAAATTATTCCCAAATTGGCACATTTATTAAGCCAAAATCTGCACAGACAATACTAGGAGACGATTTCCTCTTGGAGCTGCAATAAAGTATCATCTTTTCTTCTGAGAACACAGCGTGCCCAGGGACCCAGAGCAAAACAAGGCAGGCCACCAGCACCTGCACACCTCTGTTCCGGTGAGCAGCCCGGGGTGCCAGGCAGTTCTTGAACCCTCCTGTACGGAAATCCAGTCGGGCCTTCTATTGGCTGCACCAGTAGAGCAGGCTAACAGAAGAACCTGCTCTCACAGAGGTGCTGGGAGTTTGCAATAATTTAATGATGGGAGAGACAGGAGCCTCAGCCAGCCAGGGGGCTCCAAAGATGGGGCGGCTTCCAATAACACATCTCTCAGCTTGAAGGCGGCGCCTCTGAGAAGCTGCAGACTTCTCACTATGTCTTCACGTGACAGACGGGCAGCCGCTCTCCCCACCTGTGAGGCCCCACCCTCAGGCCCAGTCACCTCCCAAAGGCCCTGCCTGCAGCACCATCAAACAAACTCCACAGTTTGGGGTTTCAACGTAAGGACTGGGTGTCAGCACACAAACGGTGAGCCCACGCCACAGACACTCAGTAAGTGAACCTCATATTAATGCCACCGGGACTTCCTTCCTCTTCTCATGGTTCCCGAGAAAGAAATGTTACTTATTTATTTATTTGATTACCTGGGAAAGAAAGGGCAGCTCAGTAGGGCAGAAGGACTCCCCAAGGTCACAGAGTTGTTAAAGCAGAAGCAGCCAGGCTGGCGGGGAGGCCAGGCTTCCTGACTCCAGGCGCAGAGCTGGCATCACTGCACCAGGGCACCTGGTTCCTACGAGAGCCTAGCGGAGCCCCCAGCCTGGACCCCTCCAGTCAGCTGCCCCGGGGACGGAATGGGGCGGCGCTCAAAGCCTTTTGCCTGAAAGACTCACTCTCAGCTTGTGCCCACGTCACCTGTCACCTGTGTTCACACCCCAGGCTCCTTCAGGGCACCCCCTTTTTCTCCAGCCCCTTTACCCATTACCACCTCCCTCATCCTGTCAGCCCAGGTCAAATACACCTGTGGCCATTGGTACCTCTCCCTATCATGCCCCTTGGCATCTGACTCAGGTATAGCCCAAACACAGTCTTTTTTTTTTTTCCAGGTCATCTGGATCCTGGTCCAGTGTCCTTGACATTGCCCCCAACGCTCTGATCAAGTCCCGGCCCCGCCTGGCAGGCCGTACAACACGGCCGGTCAGATGGGCTCCGGTCCTTCTCTGCCACCGTGGGCTGTGTGACCGTGGGGAAGTCTGTCCAGACTCCCTAGGCCTCAGATCCCCTCACTGGGAAATGTGGGTACTAACAAGCCATCCCACAGGGGAGCCTGAGGGTTCAGCAGAATGACAGGTGTGAAGTCGGTTGTGAAGACCCAGCACACAGCTCTCTCAAAAATCTGAATTAACATTATTTCAGTCATTGCTGGTTGCCCTGGACTGAATGCCAGCCCTGGAACAACCCAGTTCCACCCCTACCCAGTTCTCAGCTTTTTCTCCTCTTCCCTCTCCGCCTGCCATAATAAACCCTCAAGTCAAGGCCATCACAGGCCATCCGCAGTGTTTGCAAAACAGCAGCCCTGAAGAGCCAGGCTGGCCCGCTGCCCAGCACCACGTGGGAGGCTGCCCTGCGCTGAGAGCCGGAGCGCTTGGGGGGCAGGAAGGGGAACAGCTCCTGCCGCTCACCCTGAGCTGTGACCAAGAGGCACGGATCAGGGAGGGCTGCCGGGTGGGGTGCTGCAAACACCAATGGAAGGCCCACGGGAACCAGCTGCAAAGAGCCCCAAGGCACAGATCGGTCCCGCCCTTACCCGCAACATGTCGCCCTGGCACCCCATCCCCTCTGTGGGAATCAGGCCCCTCACCTTGAGCCCACTGCTCTCTGCTTCGGAGTCCGGGTCCACACCCGTGATGTAAATGCCCAGACCGTACTCAGCTCCCCCTCGGATGGTGAGGCCCAGGGAACGTCCATCCCCCAGCACCAGGTTTACCTGCAAGAGGGAGAACAGACAGCATTTGGGGGCCTGGAGGAAAACTTCAGAGGGCCACAGGCTGCTGAGATCCGCCCACACCCTGAGGAGCAAAGAGAGTTGGGCCTGCAAGCGCTGCAGGAACATTCTGCCCTCGCTCTGACTTGCTGACTTCCACAGGCTGGAACAGGCTGTGCAGATGTGGGCAGGCACAGGTATTCTGGACTACCTGAGCCCCCCACTCTGAGCCAGGCCAGAGGACCCCTGGGGCCAGCTGAGGCCTCTGCAGCGATGACTTCGCAGCCCACGCTTCCCGCCACATCATTACCAAGCTGATGCCAGGGCACAGCATCACTGGTCTGACCATACTTGCGGCAACACAGACTTATTATCTTAAGGTTCTGGAGGTCAGAATGACGGTCACTGCTGTCCTTCCAGAGGTGCTCATGGAGAACCCCTTGGCCCTCTCTAGCTTCCAGAAACCACCTGCAGTCTTCGGCTCATGGCTCCTTCCTCCACCTTTACAGCCACAGGGGAGCATTTCTAATCACATCACCTTCCCTGTCCTGATCCTCCTGCCTCCTGCCTCCTTCCTCAAAGGGCAGTTAGATTAACTGGTTAATCCAGGAGAACCTTCCCCCTCAGGAGGTTTAAATGACCGTCCCAGGGCAGTCCCTTCGGCCATGGAAGGTGATAAGGTAACAGGCTCGCAGGAGGTGGTAGATGCCTGTGGTCTTGGGGAGTCGTTCTGTCTCTCGTGAAGAAGGTGGCACAGGCACACTCCTGTAAGCCTCTTCCAGGGGACTCAGGCCTCAGAGTCCACGCCTGGGAGTCCAGCCTCAGGCAGCGGCTCCTAGAAACATGACTGCCAAGTCCTGAAGACTGAGCCAGGGAAGGAGGGGAGATGGGTGTGCTGGGAGCAGCAGCTCATACAGGAGCTCAGAACAGGCTGCCCTGGAGTCAACCTCCAGGTGCTATTTGGCTGGAGTATGAAGAACAAAGTGAGGCTGGCCCATGGGGGCGGAGGAGGATATAAGCCAGGCTCAGAAGTCAGAGCTTTAGGCAGGAGCTACCAGCAGACATGGATTTTACCATATCTATTGGGGAAGGACTATTGGGGAAGGGGGCTGCAGGGAAAACGGCCTTCTTCTAGCCCTTCTGAGAGGTTACAGGGGTGGAGCAGGCAGAGCTAAGCCAGTGGGAGTCAGTGGGCAGCTCCAGTCTCCAGCTCCCTCCCTGCCCAGCAGAATGAATCCCCCTTCTCCATGCTGCCCCCTGGGGGTCTAAACAAGCTGGCCTGGCCTGAGGCCTCCAAACCAGGGGTCAGTGACCTGGAGTCAGTCCCACCCCACCTGGTCCCTCTAGCTCCATGGCAGAAGAAGAGGTGGAATGGGGGCAAGGGGAGCCCAGGAACGCACAGATGGCCTGTCTTCTTCAGCAGCTTTCTCTGAATACTAAGGATGGAAACCAAGCTCTCGCCAGCCCGCCACCTCCCCATAAATCCTTTACATGGGAATAAAAAGGAGTCTTTATCACAGAACTGTAATAACAGGCCTATCAACCAAGGGTAATCGGACTCTATCACTTGCTGGAAATTCAACCAGCATTTGGCAGGACACAAAATTCATCTGCGGAAAGGACACTACGCCGTGAGCGGCAACCTGACACCATGAAAGGAGCCCCACTCCCACGAGCAGCATAACGGTGACCCTAATAGCGGCGCATTAAATGAGCTACCAGCCTGCAAATGCAAGGAGAGGTTGTCACATGGAAGACAACTAGCTAGTGGCATGAGCCAGTCATAGAAAGACAAAGGTGGTTGTTCCTCTCACACAAGTTATGGGGAGCAGTCACATCTGAACAGAAAGTGGAGGACTGGATGCTGCAGGCTGGAGGGAGGAGGACTGGGGGACTGCCATTTCATTTTGGGGTACGATGAGGAGACTGGTTACCGGCAAGATGAACGTGCATCCTACCGTTGACCTAGAAACTTAAAGGTGGTCACGTTGCTCCAGTTTATGGGATGTGTATTTTGCCATAATTTAAACAAACAAACAAAAAAATTTAGCAGACCTTAGTCCCACCATCTCCCTCCTAAACCATTTCTCCAGGTTTTCAAGATGGGAGGGCCAAAGGAGGTCACACTCCATTAACTCTAGTTCCCCAAGAAGGAACCCTAAAGTCTAAAGCTGAGACCTGGCAACTTGGATGAATGTCACCTCCGAGGAGAAGCAGAGCAGCAGGGACACAGAACACGCCTTTTTCTTCCTGGAGTGTGAGGGATCAGGTGCCAGCCCCCTACCCAAGTCCAAACAGAAATGCCAACTTGGGAAGTGGCTGGTCAGGTCTTCTTCATGACGTTGCAAAGAGCAGGGTGTGCGTGGGTCTGCTCAAGGACAACCTCCATTCACACCCAGCAAACATTTGTTGAGCGTCTACCATGAACTGGGCCTGGGTTTTCATTCAGCCACTCAGGTCATAAATACAAACTGCCGTGCCAGGCACTATGGGTATACCAGGGCACAGAATCAGAATGCTTAGCACCACAGAGATCACATGGTATGGGGAGAGTGGGCTTGATCACTGTCTCCATTTTAGAGGAGGAGACCAAGGCTCAGAGAGATATGTGACTTGTCCTGGGTCACACGGGCAACAAGTGGCGAAGCCAGGGTCTGAGCCTGGTTCCACTGTCTTACTGCCCCTGCCACACCGGTGCTCTATTTAACCTCCCCATCAAATGCTTTATCATGCCAAAGGTTCACCCAGCATGGGAAGCTGGAACACTGAACAAACTGCTCCCTGTTCTCCTCTGAGAATAAGGCCGTGACTTGAGCATGAGTAGCTCTGATTCCCAGAGTCATATGTTCTTCCCTTCTGTTCCTTCCCTCAGTCTCATGGAGAGGTCCTCACACTTCAGTGCAGAGAAAGGCATTCCAGGAAGGGCTACAAAACTGAAACCAGTTTCAGTGGACAATTTAGGGGGTTTCCCAGGTAATTTTGCTACATGGGTGATTTTTACATCTCTGTTGCCATGAGAACTCATTTTGTTAGTGGAGTAGCCCAGGGATCTGGTGCTGCCTGTCACTTATAGAGGCCAGAAAGTGGACACAGCAAGTGAATCTATAATCACTTTGATTTTTCAGATCCCTGCCCTCTCTTCCTCCCTAAGCCCCTATCAATTTCCCTAAGGCAGGTCTCCACTAGGGTTGGATTAGGGTTTGGGAGTCTGTTCAGCATTATCTGGAATAGGAGAAGATGAAACCAGGCCACTGGAGAGAAGAGAGTCGAACCCAGGGAGCTGGAAGTGAGTGCTCCAGAGACATTTCCCCCGGCCCCCACAAAACAGATGGGGGCTTTCAACATGGGAATAGTTCGCATAGCAGGTAGAAGGTTGAGATCTGTGGCCTGGCTGTTTCCTGTCTCCTGAGCTATCGGGGTCTTCCTGGGAGGATGAGCCAGTCTCTGCCCTTTGCTACACCATGCACAGGGCGCCTCATCTCCTCCCAACCCTCCCACCTGGTCCAGCCACGAGGCCCTTCCCTCTAAGGCTTGAAGATGAGGACTCAATCCTATCTCAAGGCCTTTGTATGTGCTGTCCGGGACTTTGAGCCCCCAGAATGGCACAAGGAGGCTCCTTCCTCTCCAGGAGTTGGCACAGAAGCTGTCTCCTCAGAGAGGCCTCCCTGACCATCTCATGTGAAGCAGTGTCTCCCTCCCATCATTCTCTATCTGCTCTCCTGGCTTTATTTCTGCCCATCAGTCTTCCCTCTCTCAGTTATCTTACTCGCCCATGCTCATTTCTAGATTATTGTCTTAACTCCTCCATGACCTCCAAGCTCACTGGCAGGTTCCCCAGGACAGGGGTTCAGCTCTCTTTTCCATTTCTCTCTGTTCCCACCTCCCAGGACCGAGTCAGGAATGGATTTGTGGACGATTTGTGGAATGGATTCTGATTGCCGCAGTGCTCCGCTGGGTCTCAGATTCCTCATCCATTAAATGCAGATAAGGGCCCTCCCTGGTGGCGCAGCGGGTTAAAGCACAGCACTGAGAATCTGAAGCCGCTTCCGCATGAGTTCGATTCCCGCCTGCCTCCTGCTCAGGAGGAGACCACATGGCGAGCCAGACCTCTCCTGACCCGCCCGCTGCTCCCCTCAGCGGTGTACTTCGTCGATCTGCTTGTTCTGCTCCCCACTCTGTCTCTGGTGAAGCCTCTCGCCGCCCTTGAGCCTCTGGCCTGTACCCCAGTTCTGTATGAATAAATAAATAAATCTTAAAAAAAAAAATGCAGACAAGGAGTCCCTCCAAGAGGACCCAAGATGATGGTGTGAGCACAGAGCCCAGCAGGCGGCCAACAGGGCCAGCAGGCAGCAAGCTCTCCTTCAGTCCTAATTACCACTCTGCATCAAGCCTTGCATGGGGAAGGGACCCCAGGAAACAATAAAGCGAGTTCCCCTCTCAACCCTGGAAAATGACTCCAACGCCACAGGCAGCTCCAGATTGCCAACAGCAACATCCCCTCTAGGGGCAGAGGCTGCACGCCCACCCCCATCCCCAGCGCAGCCACCTTGACCCTGCCAGCCAGGCAGGCTCTGGCCTCCTTTCCCGACGAGCTATCCGCTGCCTCTCGGCTGGCACAGAAGCTGCCTCCTCTCTGCTGTGTCCAGCATTATCGACGTTTGAGCAAAGAATACAAAACACATTAAATAAATGTTACGGTCTTATTGACAGAAAAGGAAAGCTGAGGAAGAGTGTTCAGAGGGAAGGCATTTGGCTGGGAGCCCCAAGCTATGTGGCCTTGGACTGGAGGTGCAGAGGTCCTCAAACACCCAGGGGCAGTGTGCAGGAATCACATCCCTGGTCCCAGGTGCAACCAGGGGGCACAAAGCAAACAGTATCCAGATCCAAGTTCAAAATACCCAGCGGCCACCTCTCAGTCTTTTTTTTTTTTTTTTTTTAAAGAAATAGCCAAGGACTAGGGTGTAAACAGGGTTCTCTACAGGGTTCATCTGTCAATGTCCCTGACCCCCTTCTTCAGGTCACAACACGCCATGTGCTTTGGGCAACCCTGCATTCCTGCCCCCCACTTGCTGATCCTGTCAATCAGAGTGCCCATCTCTCCCACCAGCCAATCAGGTGCTCCCTCCACACCCTTCCAGTAAAATCTTACTTTGCAGTAAAACCAGGACCAGTTTCTGTTGCTAACTGCCCAGACCCACAAAGCAGGTTTCCTGGGGAGCCCTGGCTCCTGGCACCTGCATGTGTCTGGGTCCAAATCACTAAGAAGCTGAATCCCATCTAATTTGTATTTGTATTTTATTTTTTTAATTATAATTTTTGAATGCAATAACCTTTGTTTACAACACTGGATATGATTTAGGGGCCCAAGGGCACGCCTCGTAAGATGTCTATTACCACACCGCACCACCAAAGCCCCCACAATCTTCCACCATCACCCACTAGTTCCCCTTCCCCTTTGAGTGTCCACCCTCTCTCACCCTTGTCTGCTGGAACACGGCAGCCAGATTTCTAGGGTGTGTTTTGATTTAGTTTTGCTCTTCCTTTGTTTCTTTATTCCTTTGTTTCTTTATAGTCCACACATGAGTAAAATCATCTGGTATTTGTCTTTCTCCATCTGACCTCTTTCATAGCCCTAATCCCTTCCAGCTCTTTCCATGTTGCCAAAAATGGCAAGATTTCATCCTTTTTATATAGTATATTTAACTTAAAAGGAAGTGCTGTGTGTTCTCTCTCCCCCCTTCAATTCTCTGCAGCGTGGGGGCCTATCGGGTGTGCCCCTCTTTCAGCCAACAGAAGGGGGCAATATCCTAGATGATGACCATAGTAGAGGGGCCCTGGGCCCCAGAATAAGGCGGGCCCAGAGCTGCCTGCTGTCCTGGACTGAGTCCTCTGTTCTGCCAGCAGGAGAAATTGACCTGTGTTATTTAATTCACAGTATTTGGCTCTTGTTTGCAGTAGTTTACCCTGCATCATATGAACTGCAACCGTCAAAAACAGAAAAAAGGAAAGCCATTCCCTGAGGACTTCAGGGAGAAAAGGAGGACAGGGCCCCCACAGAACCAAGCGCCTTCTTCTAGCCTCCAAGAAGCTGCCCTGGACTGGACCTGGCAAGGAGAATGTGGCCTCAGGGGCCAGCCTCTCTCCACCAGCTGGCGCCCGGGACCAAAGCAACTCACCTTTTTCTCATCCCCGCCTTGCAGGAGGTGCAGGGTGCTCCTCCGGCCCCCCTCTCGCTGTCTCAGTGCACTGCCGTGGGGCTGGGGCAGGCCGGAGGGCGGGGAGATGCTGCGGCCTTGGGGGTCCACCCAGGTGTAGATGTGGTTGGTGACGTAGCCTCCGGGGACACGCCCCGCTGAGTACACGGACAGCACCAGCTTCTTGGAGCCCTTGAGAGCCTACAGAGAGAGGGATACACGCGTTAGCAAAAAGAAGCACCCCCTGACCCAGAACTTGACCCTCCACTTGGAGGAGATCAGTCCCCAATTCTCTTTTTGTTTCTAACCATCTGTCCTACCCCCACGTTGAAGGGGCTCAAACACAAGAAATCTGATCTCCTAGCATACCTGTGCACACCTGTGTGGAGCAAGCTAGTGACTAGCGTCCTTAGCAACGCCTACCCGCCATCGGGGACTTGGCTCTTAGGGGCCCCACTTCCCCCAACGCGGGGCTCCCAGTGCCTAGGCTGTGCATGTGCTCCATGTGGCGTCCACTGAACACCTGGGTCTGGAATGGGAAACAGAGGGTGCCTACGTGCTCAGTCTCAGTAAAAGCCCTCGCGCTGCGTGTCTGATGGGCACCCCGGGCAGGAAACACGTCACACGTGTTGCCACACTTCAGGGCTGGGAGGACCGGACGCCTCCTGTGTGCAGGCGCGGGGAGAGGGCTGGAAGCTTAGGCTGCAGACCCCAGACCCGCCCTCGCGCCTTGCCTGGAGCATTTGCCATGTGTCCTTTCGCTGTAAAAACTCAGCTAGTGCTGAGTATAACTCTATGGGCAACCTCGGAGTCCCTCTAGTGTCACGGACCTGGGGGTGTTTCTGGCGACCCTGGTAAGATACCAAACAAGGGAGTCAAGAGATAAAACATGAATCGTAGAGATTCCTTAACACCCAGAAGGCCTGGAAATGTCGGTCACTGCTGAGTATCAGCGCTGCTTTACTTCCTGAACGCTTAAAGGAAGCCAGTCTTGTGAGCGGAGGGTCCCTTGGTGCTAGTGAAGAAAACAGAGGAGGAGAGCTACCTGCCCACACACTCGGGAGGGAGTCTCTCTCATAGAGCCACTAATTCTGGGGAGAAACCACCGTTCTCCACATTTCCAGACTGGAGATGCTTCGAAGGATCCTAAGAAGAGCTAAATTCAAGCTGTGCTGTGCCTGGAAGCAAACAGCCGCCATGTTGCTTTCCCACAATGCACCTGGCATGGAACCGAAGTCAGATTAACAGCAGGCAGGTCCCCAAACCCGGGAAACTTGAGTAAACAGAGTACCTACACTTACAAAGATTCACACCGCCCTTAAAATCATGCTAAAGTCATTGTAAAGAGTTTGTGATGCCTTTGGTATGTTTTAATGTTAAGTGGTGTCAAAGGACAGAAATCACGTGTGATAATAAGATCTTAGTTATGGTAAGAAAAGCAAACAAAACAGGATGATTTGCCAAGATACATGCTTCTGGCCATTGAGGCAGAACTATGTGATCATTGTTAGGTTCTTCGTCTTTTCCCAATGTTCTAGAATGAGGGTATATTGCTTTTAATATCAGAAAACATCGACATGTCTTAAAGAGGGGCGTGGGGTACTGCTCTTTGCTATAAGTTCCCCCAAACTTGCCTGAATCTGCTGCATTTGGTTCTACTAATGATCCAGTACTCTTGATAGACTTAAGGGGTCAAGGGCTGTGCTTCCAAGGACCATGGGGAGCCCGGCTGGGCAGGCACTGCCCGAGGAGGACACTCTGACATTTGAACCTCTCCTGGAGGAGGAACAGTGAGTCGGAGGCACCTGCTCCCTCAATTCCACGGCTCAATGCCAGTCCCCAGAGTAGGGATAATGAGGGGATGGCGGCGTTCCAAAATTCTGCTTTTAAAAAAGACTTCTGAGAAGATGAGCAGGGAAAGATTTGCAGTGTTCTTTTAGTGTGTCTCAGGCCTCCCCTGATAGAACAATGGGGGGGGGGCGGTTCGCCACTGAATTTGAGCTGCAAGATGGGAAGGCCAAGACCTAGTGGTCATCTGCAGAGCAAGCGGTACTAGCAGCATCACCAAGACTATCACTCCTCCAAGGGAGTCTCCTGACCCCATTTCTCTGCTGCTCCCTCCTCTATGGGGGGCTGGTTGCTGCTTAGATGCTATGAGTCTGTCTTTTCCTGCCTCTGCTCACTCCCAAGACAGACTATGAGTCTGGGCCCCGTTGCTCATTGGACAGGGTTTACTAAGGACGTACTATGTACAAAGCCTGCAGAGAACACAGAGGGCAGTCTGACTCTTGCAGCCTGGCACACAGTAGGTCATCATGATGCCCACAGCTTAATGTGAGACAAAGCCCCACCTCGCATATAGTTATAGTAGGTCCTCACAATGCCCATGGCTTAGGGAAGCAAAGCTTCACCTAGCACACAGTAGGTCTCCATGATGCTTGCAGCCTGGTGAGAGAACAAGGTTTTGTGCGGCACACAATGGGTCCTCAGAAAAAGTTGACTTGATTAGGTGAGAAAGAAAGTAAACATGACCTTCAAAGAAGCCATAACAGCCACAGACATCACTTTACTCATCTGATCTGAAAGGTTAAGTTTGAAAGGAACAACGGATGTGAGCGGAAAGAACACAGACCACAGAGTCCTGCAGGATGGGATGTAGTTGCACTTTTTCTTGGACCAGCGTCTTCCTGCTCCAGCAGCGCACATGAAGGAACAGCGCCTACTGCTCAGGATGGAGTGGATTCAAGGACACCACACTAAGCAGCTCCTGAGCCATTGCACACAGTAGGAGCTCAGCAAGCCCCACCACCCACTCCCCTCTTCCCAGATCATCTGAATGGAGAAGGAACACTCGATGCAGAAAAGCACAATCCAAGGAGTTTAAAAAGAAGGTGGAGAGAGATTGAAAAGCAGTGCACGGAGCGCAATTTGTATTCTGTATTCTGAGTCGCTGGCAATAGTGGAATTCTCTTGGTCAGTTCTATAAATAGACAGGCAGCAACCTTGAGCCTGAGGGGAGGTTAATGCCTTTGATGAGAACACCACCACGAGCTGGCACTGCAGAGAGCCCGGGAGGTCAAGGAGCCCCCACCTGCTGCCTGGCCCCGGTGTTTCACAGACGGGGCCCCTGGGAACTGAGGAGGAAAGGGACGTGAAGGCTCCAGGTAGCAGAGGCCCAGTCCAGAGGCAGAAGCTCGCCCTGGGCAGGCCACATCCCCCAGCCTGCGGAACCTAAGAGTCACTTAAGCTTAGACCACTCTGGAGTCTCTGAGATTGGCTCCTTTGGGGGGATAAGTATGGGTTTTCAGTGGGTCTTTGGAGAAAAAGCAAGAGCGTCACCATCCCCTGCCATCTTGCTTTTCTGTCAGGATTCCCAAGACAGTGCTTCCAAGTCTGTGGTGCTCAGAACTCAGGGAGTATGAGTGGGTGTTTGTTAGGGAGGAGGCGGCAGGGGCCTAAGAAGCCAGCCCTCACCTTATTGTTCTCTTTTCCTCATGTTTACAAACAGCCACTTGCTTATTTTCAAGGGTGGGCCTGAAAGGAGTCAGTTCTTCCAACAGGTTGGTGACTGTCACCCTACTCGCCTTCCTCCAGCTTTCCTCACTGCTCACCACTGCCACCTTGAGCCCCGAGGCTCAGGTCATCCAGGTGGCGTGCAGTTGGGTATGGCTAGGTGCACCAGGCCATTCTCCCCTCAGAAGAGCCAGCCACTCCCTCACCAGAGCGCGATTCCAAAGCAAGCAGCCTCGGGCAGCTGGACAGACTAGAAAGCAACTGGCTGCTTGCAGACCCAGGCCCTGCTGGCTGCTAGCTGACCAAGGCTCCGGCCTCCTCTCACTGAGCCTCGCTTCTGCCATGTGGCAAGGAGCTGGTTGGATACACTGACTGTTAAGGTCTCTCTGGCACAGGCTGCTTTAAGCAGAGTCTATATTTACCCAGGTACCACAGGTCAGGCACCTGGGGACGTGCAAGGATAGATAAGTAGGCCTGCTGGCTGGACCCAACTCCTGGGCCTGGGGAACTCTCCTCAATTTCCCTCACAGACACACTCAGAACCATGCTGACCCAGTTGCTACTAGACCCAGAACCTGATCCAGACAGAACCTGGAGGCACTGAGACTCCATCTCAATAGGAGGGCCTAACAGAGTTTAAGAAAACACCAGAAGGGCAGAGCTGGCAGGAGTACATGCCAGCTGAGCATCGTAGTGGGTAGCTGGAGGCCTGCAGAGGGATGTGAGGGTCGGAGAGACACCCTTTCTGGGACCTCGGCTGGGGTCCCTGCTCTATAGCCAGCTGCTTGCTGGTGGTGAATCGCACCCAACCATGACCTTAACACACCTTGCATTCTCCACCAGTATATGCTGTGTGGGTGACTTCTGTCAACCACACCTCTGACTGCTGTGGCAACCTGCAGGGTCACCCAGACTCCTGAAGCACTTGCCTATTAGCTATGCCACCTCCCACACATTACTGAATCTCTCTGTTCATCTGTTTCTCTCCTATGGAAGAAAGATCATAACCCCACTCCATTAGCACAGAGCTTATCACTTAGGATTGGCTGGGCCAGGGCTCAAAATAAAGATCTAGGGGAGTCCAGTAGATACCTGCTCCCATTCTGGCCCTCCCCCATGTTTATGGAGAAACTCACCTGGGGGCTGGTTTGCATCCTACCAAGTCAGATCATGGAAGAATCTCAATCTGACCCAACAGATGGCATCACTAAGATTCTATCCATCGCCAGATGACTATTCAGGCAGCACGTTATGATTATGGGGATGTAAATTATATGTGTATGTCTTCAAACTTAATAACTTGCTACTTGGATTAATGCTCTCAGGAGGCAAATTTGCCTCACTCAGCTTTTCAGTGTCAACACTGAAATCCCAAAATCACAGACAAGGCTGACACAATTCTCTGCTGGGCAGAGGACTGAGAAAAAGCCGGGAAGGGGCCAGAGAGGCTGTGTGCTAACACAGCAGATGGGACTGTGCTCCTGGACTCAAAATCACTCACCACAGGATGAGTAAGAAGTGGGCCACAAGGTCACAAGTCTATCAGACTACTGTCCGCAGGAGCGTGAACGGAAGTGTTCTGGAAAACCAGTGAGGACTTATGATGAGTCATCCAGCTTTATTTCAGGGCACAGACCTCAACAGGCAAGTTTTCTCAGGAACAGAGACAGGAAGGGGAGCTGGACTGA